GTTTATGAAAGAGTCTGTTTATCGTCTGTTTATCGTCTTGTGGTAAATTAACGGGATATCGAAGCATCATTGTCCCAGGTTTTGGGTTAGCACCGTGCTTGCATTGCCTACAACTTGAAGACAAACATGTAACATGACCTGTGTTTACACGACTAATGTGGTCGATATCTGTGTGAAACCTGGCTCACAGGAAAGCTATGTCCTGGACTGAGAGGCTCAGACTTGTAGCGGTCCTGGAGGACTGCTCAGACCAGCTGTTCTTAGTGGAGCACAGTCTGAAAGTGCAGAAAGTCAGGGCGCAAGGCCAAGCAGGAGCCCGGGTGAGTGTACAGTGCTCTGTGTTTAGCATTGGTGCAAAGTAACTAAGTCATTTCCTCAAGTTCTGTACTTAAGTACAATTTTGAGGTATCTGTGCTTTTACTTGAATATTTTCCTTTTCTGCTACTTCATACTTTTGACTTCACCACAAATATTGTACTTTTTACTCCACTATATTTATTTGATAACTTTAGTTACTAGTTACTTTACAGAACAAGATTCATATAAAAAAAATGCAGTAAGGCTTTACTGATCCCATTTACCGTAAATGCATATAAGCTAGTTAAAACTATCTGCCCCTTTACCAGCTGCAACATTAAATGTGATGTACACAATAATGCATCAGTCATTGTTTATTTATTTATTAGGTTTTTGGTCAACAAGCAAAATTAGAATTGCAATTATTTTACACAAAAAAGCATGAAACGTACATACATCCATTTGAGCAAAAGTATGCATGCACACGTACATAATCATACAAAAATAAAATGAAATAAATAAAAACAAAATGTTTATTGACCAAAGGTGTAGGCTGAAGCTAAAGCTTATTATGCCTACCCTTACTCCACACAAGCAGCACTAATGGACTGAAAATAAAAAATATTGAGTATTCTGACTATATATTTAGAAGAACATGCATTATGATTATTATTATTATTTTCATTATTATTACTGAGTATATCTTTTTATTACCATTCTTTTATAAAGATTTTAAACTGTGGTAATTATAATCCAATATTTGATATACATCAATGTGGAATGTGCCATTCTGCATAATGAGTACTTTAAGTATGTTTTGATGCTAATACTTTTGTACTTGTACTTAAGTAGCATTTCAAATGCAGGACTTTAACTTGTAACAGAGTATATTACACTGTTGTATTGCTACTTTTACTTAAGTAAAGGCTCTTCTACCACTGCTCATAATCACCTTTTTATGTTCACAGTCCAGAGAAACATCTGTCTAACAGCTGTCTGCTGCTCTGATGATGATGTGAATGTTTTTGGTAGGATATTCTAGCCTACATTTCATGAGATGACTTGACAAAATGTACTGACTAGCATAATTTCTGCCTCTGTGTGTGTGTGTGTGTGTATAGGAGATAGCCAGGCTGAAGAAGCTGAATGGACACTGGTGAGTAGTACAGACAAGCAAAGAGAGAAATGTTTCTGACTTTTTTCTAGGTCTCTCCTAGGTGTCTTTCTCTGCAGTCAGGACATCTCACGTCAGATTTCAAGCCTGCATTGGGCGCTGGAGAAGGGACAGAGCTACAGCTCTTTTCTGGATGATGTTGAAAAAAAGAAGCAGAAGAAGGAGTGTGACAACATGATAAGGTTCATCACATCATCATCACATCATTTGGAAACAGAACACATCATTTGGAGAAGAAAATCTAATAATTAATTGTAATATGAATAGCTAACTAAAGAATGTCATTTTCTGGACAAACTGTGATGGGATTTCTGAGAGCAGTGGTGTCTTACTCTGTCGAAAGACTAAGGGTTGAAGAAGAGAGAGAGACGGGACAGTGTGTTGTAGCAATAGTGTGTCTCTCTACCCAGAAATGCAAAGAGAGAGCTGGAGGAGAGAGCACAAACTCTACAAAGACAAAAAGAAGAGCTTCAAGAGAAAAATTGGATACTGAAGGTGAGCAACAAAGAGTAGGTCCAAAAACCAAACCTGTCTTCATGAATGGCTATTGGGGGTAAGTGACGATGTGTCGATGTGGGTGCTTCATTTGAGAAGAAAATCAAATATGTTAGTCTGCAGGTCAGTGAAAGTCCAAGGGATCCAGCACTTTCCACACTTTTCCCCTCAGGACTTGTATCATCTTGCAACACACCTGAAGTGTCAGCAGAAAGAGCAGTCATTAGAGATTGCCTACAGGAAGAAGACTGTGGAGAAAATTATGGAGATGCAGCACCAGCTAGAGATCAACCGGGCTGAGCAGCTGCTGGAGGAGCAGCTGGAGGTGGGTCCAACAATGCATCAGCTCCTGTCCAGTCTGGATTAGGCTCATCTATGTACCCAGCCCACAGGTGTCTTCAAATAGATCCTCCATCAGAGTGCAGACATGACCTTCATCAGACACATCTCTCCCAGCAGGCTCTGTCTTCCTTTTTTTTAGATTAACACAGTAACAAATCTAAACTTAGACTCCAGAGTAAATGTTAACCATGTTTTGTATTCTGTTATCTCCTTCTCTCTCAGCTGTTGCAGAAACAGCTGAAGGAGGAGTCAAGAGTCCATGAGGAGTCCAGGAAATATCTGCAAAATCAACATGAGGTACTATTACTATAATCAGACTGTTGTGATTGTTGCCTTCGGAGGCTACTGTCATTAGCTTAGCTGCAGCTGAAGGTTTAAGAAGACTTTAAACCTGTGTTGTCTGGAGCTAAATTACCATTGCAGGGTCCTCAGAAGCCTGCACTTAAACCAGTTGCTATGTTACATCATTGACACTAGAAGTCACTGTACTGCTGCACACCTGCCGCTGAGGTCCAAGCTCAGAGCTCTATACAAGGATGGATTTCTTACAGCGAGTAAAACATCAGATCTATCAGGATCTACTGTATGATTCATGTGGCATTAAAAATAATTTTCACATCAACTTAGTAAATCACTCATATCAAATTCTTTTTTATGCTCTTACAGCAGCAAACAATATGGTAGTTAATTAGTTAGTTAACTTTTTCTTGAATGTACAAATAGTGCAAAAAGACAAAGTATAGACATACTAATAAAAGCAACAGACTAAAACCTGATCTGTAATTTCAGTGGGTTAAGCGGTGTTCGATCACAAACGTGTCACAAATCTGTTAAGGAAAACACTATTTCACCAGCTCATATCAAAAAGACATGAGGACTTGTTTGTCAGCAGTGTAAATGGCTGAATCGCTGGAAGTGTGCACTTACCTGGGGCTAGAAGTCAGAGAAAAGAAAACACTTGTGCATTGGCCTGCTGCAACAGTTTTAAGGCAAGCTAACATATGCTTCAGATTACTGATACAGCAAAAGATTGTTGAAGTATTTTTGTAGATGCTCTATGATATAATGCACGAGTATTAAAACTACTGTATAGACTGATAAAAATGTATTTTTATGATCATCAAAAATACAAATAAAATAGATGATAAATACACTGTCCTGTATAAGATTCTATTGAAATACCAAATCAAAAAACTTAAAGGTCTAAAAGGTCACTTTATTCTGTGAGAAGACAAAGATTTGGGCCATCCATCGTGATTCTGTAGGCATATTCAGCTGAGCATTTTGCATATAAATGCTCAACTTAACACACAGCTGTGTGTTAGTAAGTTGGCCATGTTTTGCAGCAGCTGTTATCACTTTGTTTTGTTAATTGTGGCTATTGTTGTTGACCAGGAGGTGCAGCAGAAACTGGAAGAGTGGCAGCAGCGGACACAGCAAATGCTGCAGGAGAAAAAGCAGCAGCTCAACAATGTGTGCTGCCAAAAAACAGTAAACCTGGACAAAGTGTCTGAGATGAGGAGGAAGGTGAGCAGCTGTCGGAGCTGAACACGGTGCACTTTATTTTTAGCTGAACACTAATTAGATGCTAATTTGTGTTCAGTTCAGGGAGATGGAGCAGGTGGTGATGGACGACAGGGAGGAGCAGGAGAAACTGCGGCAACAGCAGGCAGAGGCCCGAGCTGCCACCAAGGTAAGAACATCTGATCAGAACTCAGATCCATGAGCCTTGCCATCACATAATCTATCAGATCCTCTGTACAGCTACCTAATTTTAAACCTTGGCTTGTGACATTTGACCTTGCAGCTGCAGGCCTGGTGGAGAGGCTGCATGGTCCGCAGAGGCCTTGGTGCATTTAAAACACCAGACAAAAGCAAGAAAGGAAAAAAGAAAGAAGGAAAGAAGGAGAAAAAAAAGAAAGAAGGAAAGAAGGAGAAGAAGATGAAGAAGAAATGAGTAATAACAAAACTCATCAAGAATCAAAAACATACAATATTTCAGAAGAATAAAACATGCAGTAGTATAGCAGGCACAGTAGTCATATCTGTCTCACCTGAACACAAACAGGTCATTTTATAAGATTAAACAATATTAAATATAAAAATGCAAAAAATCTGAGTGACTTCCAGCAATGAACACTGCTAAGTAGTCTACTGTTCATGACCATGGGCCATACGTTTGAACATAAGTCAACACCTTTATCATGACATGATAGGGATTTCAGACACAGCATCTCTGTGGGGTTGGTCTGTGCAACCACACAATATACAATTCATGAGTCATACAGAACATTGTCTACCACACAAAATACATCAGTAAGCACATCAGACCACTGGCCAGAGATTACAGAATGATCGGTCATAAACGTGTCATTACAAAGTCATCTCCATATGGGAAATGAATGCAGTACATTTTCTGGGTGCTCCCAACACTATGCCTTCATATCTGACAGAGGAGAAGAAGATCTGGGATTGCACAACAGGAAACCCTTTGACTGAAAAGAGCCCGGGGAGCTGATGTTTGTTTCTGTAAACTGGATTTCTAACAACAATTGCAGAACTGTAACTGACTTGTTTTTAAATCAGTACTCTAATATCATGGCCAAGTCACGTCAAACCAGAGCAGAAAAACATCCTACTGAAACAAAACAGTAATGACATGCCAAATAGAAAAAAGGAGAGATGAAAGAACTATTCAATCGAACCATTACTAGTTTCCAAAAAAAAAAAGTGGTCTGGAGACCGACACGACTCAACGTTTCTGCTAATACTGACAGTGCTTTCAGAGTGTGTAGTGTGTGTGCATCAGCTCTGTGCTGCCTCACATTGGTGGTTCATCTGTTTCAGTAGGACTGCTCAGCGTGCATGTAGTTATTGTCTCCAATGATGACACACTTGAGATGAGAGCCGTGGATGTTAATGCTTGGAGGGTCCTGTGAGGGAGGAGGTGAGGCCTGTCCTGCCTCCTGCTGCCCACAGCCGTAGCTGCACCTCGTCTGATCTGTAGCACACAAACAAATGACGTTTTTACTTCTCATGAGCACAGTTTAAGAGCATGTTTTATACAACAAAAATGAAATAATTCAACAAAGCATAGTATAAATGTTAACTGCGTTGGTCTGTTACCGCTGTGCATGTGGAGCTCAGGTCCCTGCATCAGATGCTGACTTTCTGCCACTGCAGATGGGTAGGTGTCCCCAATGACGCAGTCAATCAGGGTGGAGTTGTTGATATTCACAATAAAAATGGTTGACGG